ACCTCCAACTTCAGTGTCATCTGCAAACTTACTAACCACACCTCTTATGTTCACATCCAAATCATACGGTGGCTCAGTGGTTAGCACTGTTGCCTCACAGCGCCAGGAACTCGGGTTTGAACCCGCCCTCGGGCGATTGTGTTTGTGTGGAGTTTGCACATTCTCCCCATGTCCGCGTGGGTTTCCGCCGGATGTTCCGGTTTCCTCCCACAGTCCAAAGATGTGCAGGGTAGGTAGATTGGCCATGCTAAATTGCCCATAGTGTTCAGGAATGTTTAGAATAGGTGGGTTATAGGGGATGGGTGTGGGTGGGATGCTCTGAGGGTCGCTGTGAACTTCTTGGGCTGAAGGCCCCACACTGTAGGGATTCTATGATTCTAAAAGCAGTGGACCAAGCGCCAATTGTTGCGGCACACCGCTGGTCACAGGCCTCCTGTCTGAAAAGCAACCCTCCACCACCAGCGTCTGTCTTCTACCTTCCAGCCAGTTCTGTATCCAAATGGCTAGTTCTCCTTGTATTCTATGCGATCTAACCTTGCTAGCCAGTCTACCATGAGGACCTTGTTGAACGCCTTACCGAAGTCCATACAGATCACGTCCACTGCTCTGCCCTCATCAATCCTCTTTGTTACTTTTTAAAAAATCTCAATCAAGTTAGTGAAACACGATATCCCACACTCAAAGCCATGTTGGCTATCCCTAATCAGTCCTTGCCTTTCCAAATACATGTAAATCCTGTCCTTCAGCATTCCCTCCAACAATTTGCCCACCACCAATGTCAGGCTCACTGGTCTATAATGTCCTGGCTTTTCCTTGCCATCTTTCTTAAATAGTGGCGCCACATTACCAACTTCCAGTCTTCCGGACCTCACCTGTGGCTATCAACGATACAAATATCTCGGCAAGCAATCACTTCCCTGTCTTCCCACAGAGTTCTAGGGTACACCTGATCAGGTCCCGGGGATTAATCTACTTTTATGCATTTTAAGACGTCCAGCACCACCTCCTCAGTAATATGGACATTTTTCAAGGTGTCACTATCTATTTCCCCAAGTCCTATAATCTTCCATATCCTTCTCCACAGTAAAAGACTGATGCAAAATACTCTCCCGTGGTTTCACACATAGGCAGCCTCGCTGATCTTTAAGAGGCTGTATTCTCTCCCTAGTTATCCTTTTAATGTGGGAGAAAGAAGAATTGATTGTGATGGGAAAGTGTGCATATGCTTTTCATGACCATGTATAGCCGGGCTTCCTCTTGCATTCTTCGTGTCTGCTAATATTGCTGACCTCCTGGTAGACTTTAGTCCAGGCTTCCCGGTTTGCTGGGTGAATTTGTTTCGCCTGTCAGTGGAGAAGATGACATCCATTCTGGTCCAGTAGCATCATTAAACCACAATTGTTTTTTGCTGTCCTGGACACATTTCCATGGGTCAGCAGCAAGAACCGCAGACTCCAGGGTTGACTTGCAGCGAACGTAGGCTGTCTGGGTGGCCATTAAATACAGAGCCAGAATCTTCAATGCCCGGAAGCAGTGAGCACATTTGCCCGTTCAACCAAACCCAATGCTTTAAGATTCCTCTACTCTACTTTTCAGTCTGTTGTTAAGCATGCTTCATCAGATTGCCCCTCACATCTCCGAGAACTTCAGATATACCCAGCCTTCACTTTTTCACACACCATCGACTCACTATTTAAGCATACACACTGACATTCACTCCAAACCTTATGAAATGTATGACAGAGACAACAAGGTGCTGGGCTGGATGAACACAGCAGGCCAAGCAGCATCATAGGAGCAGAGAGGCTGACGTTTCGGGCCTAGACCCTTCATCAGAAAAGGGGGAGGGGAAGGGGGTTTTGAAATAAATAGGGAGAGAGTGGGAGGCGGATAGAAGAGGGATAGAGGAGAGGATAGGTGGAGAGGAAACAAACAGGTCGAAGAGGCGGGGATGGAGCCAGTAAAGGTGAGTGTAGGTAGGGAGTTAGGAAGGGGATAGGTCAGTCCAGGGAGGACGGACA